TAATAATGTAGAACCCTAAACCCTAGACCAATACCCATAAAGTTTGGGCCAGGACTTCGGTTCTCTACAGGAGGTCTTGGTCCAAGTCCAAGGCTGTGGACGGCGTGGGAGAAGAGGGTGGATTCGGCAAAGAGTAAGTTTCACTGTATGGAGGTTATATTGGGGTATATATTGGGGCATATATTGGGGTTATATTGAGATAATGGAAAAGAAAATTGAAGCTACTATAGTATAATAGGGTATATATTGGGGTTGTCGCATCGAGGCGGCAACTGGGCTCCTAGGCTTGTTAAACAACTCGTATTCTTATGCTACTACTAGTACTGTTCTTAACACTACTATTATACTACCACTATAATAACTATTCTTATCACTACTATTTTAAATAAATGAGCCAACGTCCAAACCGTGCTCCAAACTTTCGGTATCTTTCAGTCTGCCCTCGACCAGATACGCTCGCGCACGAAAGATAACATGCACGCTTTTGACATGGATTACTATGTCCATTATTGTTACTAGTATTCTAATACTACTATTAGTACCATTCTTATTACTACTATTCTGATACTACGATTATAACTGCTGTCATGATAAGGCCAGAAGAAGGTGCAAGGAGTGAGAGCAGAACTCCTGAGGGCACCTCGAATGAGCTGTAGCCTAAACTTCTGTCGTCTAAACTCCTGGCATCCGCCTTAATATCCCTCTATAGCATTCCCCTATATAATACCCTTTTTAACCCCTTTAAGTAGTTTAGACTCTAGCTCAAATGCCAGGCTTCTACTGCAGCAACGTGTCAAGGTGCCTTTCGTAGGCTTCCCTCTCGGACAAGTGCTGATACCTTGAGAATTCGGCATGCTGTTTTAAGGGTGGCACAGTGTTTCCTGGCTTTGCCGTGCTTGAAAGCTTGGACCCTGGCAGCTTGGCGATCTTCTGCTCGTACTTCTCCTTAAGGCCAAGCTGTTCGCGGCTCTCCTGGCAGCCGCAGACGCCACAAGCAGTGCACACTGACTGACATGTTGGAATCCGAAGAAGCGTGAAACCCTGAATATGGCACAACCAAAAGTTACTATTACATTACTCTGATTTCTACTACTATGATTACTACTATTATTACTATAATATAGTATACCTCAACCCTAAACCCTAAACAATCACTATTCTTAGCTCAAGTGTCCTCATCTTCCTGATTGAGAACGAGGGATTTCCGGCTCAGCTCAGCTTGCATCTGTGCATGGCCGCGGTCACAGCTCAAGGTGAGTAGTGTTTTTTTGGTGGTTGAACCTAGTAAAGATAGGGATAATGGAAAAGAACATGGAAACTACCATATCATATTAGGGTATATATTGGGGTTATATTAAGTAATGTTTTTTTTGGTGGTTGAACCTAGTAAGATAATATTCCTCATATAAAGCACTATACCCCAAAAGGAGGATATAATCTTACTCTATATTGGGTACCATAGTATCCCCAAATAAAGTACTACTCAGGTGTAGTTTAGGGTCTCGGGCGTAGGGTAATACTGACAGTAGCAATATAATAACACCATAGTAAATACTAATATGTTCATGATAATAATAGTTGAAAGTAGGGTTAAATCTCTTTTAAGGTTTGGGGTTTAGGGTGTAGGGCTTAGGGTAATAATCGCAGTAGCAATGGAATAATACTCACAGTAATAATACAAATAAAATAGAAGAAAAAAGAGAAATAGTAATTAGTGGCACATCATGCATGTTACAATGAAGCAACGCGGGGTGTGCTCACACCTTGGCAAGCAGCTCAGCATGGCGGTGAGCGCGTGCAAGCCTGATGCAAATGGTCAAAAGAGCACTGAGGCGAATTTCCTACCATTATAGGAGTTATATAGGGATAATGGAAAAGAAAACGGAAACTAATGTATTATGGGGTTATATTAGGGGTTATATAGGGGTCATATTTGGGAGGCGGCCGCTCTCATTTTCAGGTCGACATCAGCCTTGTGAGTATGGACTGATAAGTCCGCTGCATATCATTCAAAGAGCAAATGTCGCTGCGTCGCACCTGATCGCCGACTGCCGGAAAATACTTGGAGGGTCAGGGAGACTTAGTAAGTAGGTTAATAACGCCTATAAGCCATATGATAGCCTCATTTATCCCCATAATTAAGCTACTTACTAAGTATCCCTGACCCCCGAGTATTGATGGTTGTGAATGCGTCTTCCGTATGCGAAGGCCTTTGCATCCCGCTGATGCATTTGCTGCTCAAGGTCCTGCGGCGCATGCCCGGGTCAGAAACAAGCAAGGAGGACAGGATGTAACATGTCGTAAATACACATATATATATATCTGTATATATATATATCGAGTTAAACCCCTATGAGTTATACGTATATTATTTATTTAATAGGATTATGATAGCTATTGCTGCTTGCTGCTTTTTCGCCTACTGAGCTCACATAGGAGAGATCGTGGCACTGCCCTGGGTGCCAAAGGACCAATCCTCGCCTTCAACCCTTCCCTAGGCCACAACAACAAGACCCTTAAAAAGTCGGAAAGCTCTGGAACTCTAAATCCTAAACCCGGCCCTAAACCCTAAACCTTGGACCCTAAACCATAGTACCTTAAACCCTAAACCATAGTGGCAAGTAGCCTTTGCCTTGAATCTCCTCCCAGATCCCAAGAGAAACCTTGCTACTCACTGCACATGCCCGGCAATTGCCCTGGCCGAGTGGCATACCAAAGGGTTCAGGGTTTTAGGGTTTAGGCTTAGGGGTTTAAGGGTTTAGAGGTTAGGGGTTTAGGGGTTTGGGGTTTAGGGGCTGGGGTTCAAGCGTAATCATACAGAATCATACCATAACAAGCCCGTCTCTAAGCAGAAGACAATTGCAAGGACCTGATTCAAAGAAGCGCTGCACGTATGTGGAGACTTCGTGAGACGCCTGCAGGGCCCCTCTCTACATGATAGCAGGAATTCTTCACTTGCTTTTCCAGTCGCACCACCGCAAATCAACGTCGCTGGTAATTAGCTGTTGCCGAACGTGTCAGACCAAAAGGATTTCTTGGCAAGCCTGCTCTATCAACTGTTTCACGCTATGACATCGTCTGGCATTTCATCAAGCAGACATCAGAGTTGTTTGCCAACCTGATTAAGGTATCATGCTTGCACGTGGCCACAATGCTTAGGCGCGGCGCGGGAAAATGGGGAAAACCCTTCAAAGATGGGTAAGAACCCAACTGTACACGCGCGAGGCCACGCAAGCCAAGCCCAAAGCGAACTGGGCACTAGTCTTTCTCATCCCAACCATGCTTCTGCGTGAGACCACAGCTTTCGCACGTCAACCTCACAAAGCCGTACGCATCGCCGTTGCGGCGGCATCCGTCTGTGGATGAAATGTGCTTAGATGCGATCGCGTGGTCACATTGCGGGCAAGTGGTCTTGACGGCAGCATTGTAACCCCAGCAGACTTCGTTAGCTGCAGGAGTGCACAAGCAAGCTGCAGAACCCAAATGGGTCCCTGCAATCGGCGGAATCTTCACTAGCTGCAGGTGCCCCTTTCCATCCGGCATTCTTGACTCCAGAAGAAGCTGGGAGAGCAAGTTTTCGTCCAGAACCTTATCTTCAAACATCAATCGTTGCTGCCATGCTGGCACCTTGGACCCTTTTGCCACGTCATCCTTGAGCTGCTTCAGGGACCTGAGTCATGCAAAGCATGAGCGGGTCTTATCACCAATTGGCCGAAGGCTGACAAGATTGCTCCTAAATTTTTAGTAAACTCTATAGTAGTCCCCAAAATAATCCCATATGTACCCCCTTTAAGGAGTTGAGACTACTGACAACTTAGCTTGCGACATGCCAGGCCATGCTGAAACGTCCACGCACTGCTCACCGGTGATTGCAGAAGTTACCAGAAAGCTAAGTTGACTTTGCGCAGGTGGCTCGACAGCCGGTAGCATTCCAAGCAAGGCTACACACTCCTGTGTGGAAGTAAATCTGGGTAGTTCCCAAAATTAGGGTCCCATTCTGGTACCCCCACATATTCGGTGCCATAACATGATTTACAACCAAAAAGGGCCCATAGTTTTGAGAATAACCCATCTAGCGGCTTGGGCAAGGCATCAAAGCCTGTCATAGCTGCTGATGCAAAGACCGTCTATAACCCCCAATACACCATAGCAGCTTCCATTTTCTTTTCCATTATTGCTATATAACCCCAATATACTTATGGTAGCTTCCATTGTATTTTCCATTATCCCATTAAATTCTGGCAATACGCTTGTCAGGTCGAGCCAAGCAAAGCTGCGGCCACAGGAAATTTCAGGAATGCTCGTCTGACAGCTCGTGCAAGTGGATGCGGTGACTGCCCACCTCACACACTGTTGAAAGGGCCATCCCAAGCTAGCTCACAACCAAGAGTCTCACGAAAACAGAACTCGGCATGTCCTTGAAGCGCTCGCGGCCTGAGAACAAACATTGATGGAAGGAAGCTATTCATTGAAACTGCAGCTTTCGCCTGCTCCGCAAGAAGATTAATCATTCTTAGGTCACTGTTGCTTGCTTTCTCCCCAAACCATGGCAAAGCTTCACTTTTGCGGGATTTCTCGGCGATCTACTGTCCTGAGCGCACCTGTTGCAGTAGTATAGGCTGAAAGTGGAAGTGGCCCGATATGAGGATTTTCAGCCCTGAACCCTAAGCCCTTTTATCAGCTTCCAGGTTCCACTTCGGGAAATTGCGTATGTGGCAGTGGATCCAATTTCCGGTTCCCAAGATGGCCTTCATGGAACATGAAGTCCCTAACGACCTTAGGGTTTACATGCTTCCTTACAGACCCACATGAACCCCAAACAATGTCTCCAAAGGACCCCTTTAGCTCAACTTCCATGTGAGCTTTATCAGACCTCTGCCGCTCTAAGCAAGGTTCTCCAAGCAGAAAATGGACACGACTATATTATATAAATATTGGGCTCGTACAGAGTTCAGGGCTTAGTGTGGGGATTATGTTAGGTCTAGACGGATTATTACCCCAACAGTGGAGAATCAAGTGGAAAAAGAAATGGAATGGAAACGGAGGTCTACATGGAATTATATGACTTGCCTTTGGTTAGCAGTCAACGAAGGAATGGGAAAGAACATTGCAAACTATTATCTAGTTGGGGATGATATAAGGGCTTCTTTAAGGATCTATTCCTGCATTAATTGTCGACCAGACGTAAGTAGTCGTGGCTGGAAACCCTTGATACAGCTCAGAATACCCTTCATACTATCCCCTGTTTGACCTATCATATAATTACCCTATGCCCTGTCATGTAGTTGTACGTGCCACTTTTAAATATGGAAAGCAACAGGGCGCCTTCTGCGCCCGTACCCATGTAGTTACCCAATCTTCATAGTAGTTTCCATTTTCTCCATCATCCCCCTACAAACCCAAAATCCTAAACCCTGCATACCGTCCCCGAAACAGTTACCTAACATTGCTAGCACAAGGTCAGCTTTCTATCAAGACAAAAAGTCCCCCTTAAGTAGATAGAATACGGGGGTAAAGGGGATCTGATGACAGTACACACAAGGCCATATTCGATTTACTTAAGGGGCACGATAGTGGCTTCAAGCCTTCTGAAGGCTACCACGACATAGAGCTCAAGGGTTATGTATGGAATGATGCAAAGGAATATGGAAACTGCTGTATCGAAATAGGCTACATATTTGTTATCTAAAGCTCTAGTCTCCATTTTGTGTTGATTGTGTTTTTCTTTCTTTTCCGTTTTGTCCCCCATCATTTGGGCAAGAATACCCTAAACTTTATATAGTCCCGGTAACGTAACGGTTTCCAGGTTTCTCCCATCAAGCCCTTAAACCCTGATTAGATTGAGCCCGGAACTAAATACTAGCCTACACAACCCCTATGAAGAGCTAATCACGCCCCAAATTCTCCCAAAACCCTGAAGCCATTCTCGGCACAGTGGCTCACTTCGACCTCCTTGTTAGCAGCTTCCAGACGCCTGGGAGGATGGCATGTAGTCAAGCGAAAGGTGGACTAGGGTCTGGGGTTAGGGTTTACGTAAGGATTACATACGCGTTATATAGCATTCTGTAAGGCTAGGTGCATTATAAGCTCAATAACGTAGGGCAAGGGGAATGGAAACGATGACGACAACTACTGCAAATTTAGATGTGTGTGGGGCAATCGGGGAATGGAAGAGACAATGGAAGCTGCTTAACAGAAGTCAATAACTTATGTGGATTCTCATGGTGAAGATGTACAGGTAGTCTTGCAGGCTTGGATGGTGACTGCAGGACGTGTCTCCCTAGAATGGAATGGGTGGCTGGTCTTGTGATCAATCCACTGCGGCATTGCAAGCAACATCCAACCAGCATAAGGGCTCTGAATCAAACAAAGCACAGCAGAATAAGCTGTAGTCTAGACTCCTTAAAGGGGGGTTACATGAGGGATTATATAGGGACTACTATAGGGGTAATTAGGGGGGATACTAGGAGTTTAGACTATAGCTATAAGTTTGTCAAACCCGGAGTGAGGGCCGGTCCAAGTCAGCTCAGCGGCACGTTTCTGCGCTTCTTTGGCACCTCGTACCATTCTCGGCTGCTACATTATGCTACACGATTATTACAGAAGTCGTATAGGCTACCATGTTATTTAGGTTTTAGAGCTTAATGGAAAAGAAACTGAAGCACATACATGCAATATGGGGATTGCATAGGTGAGGGGAATTTTTTTAACTCTAACAGCGGAGAATTCTTGATGTGCTAGAAACATCGTGCAGGGTTGACAGCTCTTTCGCGAAGCAGTGGTCTGGCACTTTGAAGGACAGGCAGCTTTCCTCATATTTTCTCCTGGACACTGCAGGTATTGAGTAAACCAGGATGCAATGGCTTGTTGTCGTTGTATAACCTCAAGTTAAACATTTGCCAGATCAGCACAACTTTTTAGGGTTGTTTTCAATCATGGACCCTACCTGCCTCCCTCCCAGGCTTGCCGTCGCCCATACCCTATCCCTAAACCCTAAACCCTAAGCCCTAAATAGTAGCTTCCATTTCCTTGTCCATTCTCCATGTATAACCCCAAGATAGCCCCAATATAACCCCAATATAAGCCCAGAACAATCCCAACATAATCCCAATATAACCTTAATATAATCCCAATATACCCTAGACCCTAAGCCCCTAAACCCTAATATGACCCCGGACCAGCGTCATAGGATCCAGGCAGTTTAGCTACACGGACTGACAAAATTGGGGTCATATTGGGACTATATTGGGATTGGATTGGGGTTATATTAGGGTTATATTGGGATTATATAAGGTTTATAAACTGAATGCAGTATGGGCGATACGGGTTATATAGGGGCTATATAGGGATGTATAGGGCTTATATAGGAATATATATATATATGTATATATAGGAGTTCTATCTAAGGATACATGGGGGTTGGGGTTTGGGGCTTAAGGTTTAGAGATCTGTAACCCCAATCATCACTGACCTTCCTATACTGCCAACCAATCTCAGTGCCGCACTCGCCGCTAGCTTGGCTCTCTGCTCCTACACGAGAACAGCTGCGTCTGTATGAGCTATAATCTAAACTCCTTGAAGGGGGGTTATATAGGGGATTATATAGGGAGTAACACAGCGCTTATGAAGGGGCATACTAGGAGTTTAGACTGTAGCTTACATGCTCCATCGCTGTCGCCTACATTCCAAGCACGCATTCCCTCGCGCGACCCCAGCCAAACATAGTTTTGGGACAGCCATATCTTTCGAAAAGCCAGCTACAGTTTGATGCAGCATGCGAACCCTTGCAACAATGCAGAGTATGGTGTTGTGAGCACCTGTACAAAGGCTCCAGTGAATCACTGATCTGGTGGAACCACCCTGCACACTGTTGCACGCATTATACTATAGTAGTTTCCATTGATTTTCCATTATCCCAATATATACCCAATATAACTCTAATATACCTTGCAACACTACGACGAAAGCTGAAGATAAGACAGGAGGCAAGGCTCACACTGGTAAAGTCGAGACTCTTGGGATAAGGAAAATAAAATAGAAACTACTACGATGGGTTATATTACTCCACTACTCTTATTACCATTACTATTATACTATTAGTACTATTATTGCTACTCTTACTGTGCTGCTTCATTCTTGAGCTGGAATGGCGTCCTCCGTGACTTTGATCTCATCCAGCTGCTGCTGCGCCTCACGACACGAAGCGTGACTGCTCCACACAAAGCTCCACTAGGAAACTGCTACCCCTTTGTTACCCCTTTATTACCCCTGTATAACACCCTAAACCCTACACCCTAAACCCTCCATACTACCCCTATATGGAAACCTTAGGCCTCTGTCAAGAACATGGCTGTCAGCTACCTCGGACTTGAAGTCTTGCATCCCACCTTGTGGTACTCGGCCTTGTGCCTGTCACGGTGACTCTGAAGCTGAATGAGGGCATGTCACGAACAGGCTATAGTATACTATAATATAATATACTATAATATATAATCGTAATATATAGTCTATTGTACTATAAGACTATAATATACTATTCTATAGTATACTTTCGTATAATACAATATTATATGATAGGTTGTGTTTCCGCCCGAGATGCAATTTTGCATCAACTCCCATGCTCCCATATGCCACCCTTGACCTCCCTGAGGTTTTAAGTGCTTGCACTGAAGAGCTCCACCTTGCTCGTCCCGGGCCAACATGAGTAGTGTTTTTTTGGTGGTTGAACCTAGTTATATAGGGATAATGGAAAAGAAAATGGAAACTACTATATTATAATAGGGTATATATTGGGGTTGTATTAAGTAATGGTTTTTTTGGTGGTTGAACCTAGTAAGATTATATTCCTTACATAAAATACTATACCCCAAAAGGAGGATATAGTCTTACTCTATAATGGGTACCATAGTATCCCGAAATAAGATACTACTCACATTCCATCAAGAGTGACATGCTTAGAAACAGTACTCATGCTTTGAACAGCAAGGTGAGTAGCGTTTTTTGGGTGGTTGAACCTAGTAAGATTATATTCCTTATATAAACTACTATACCCCAAAAGGAGGATAGAATCTTTCCCTCAGATTGGGTACCATAGTATCCCCAAATAAAATACGACTCAGGTGGTTCATTGGTTACGAATCTCGCGCTCCCCAGAGGTTTTGCTTGTGCTAGCGGCAAAGGCATTGCAGCAGAAGCGACGAAGCTGACAGGCGAGATAATGCCCCAATGATGGCCAATGAAACGGAAAGAAGGTGGACAATGGCATGAAAACTGGAGATCATACAGGGGCTTCTAGGGCTGATGCTAAAAATCCTGCATGGCCCTAGAACCTGCACGCGTTGTGAATTGGGCTCAAATCGGCCGGTCAGTTGAGAGGCAGGTTCAGTGGCAACACTGAAAATTCTGCGACCAAGAATCATAAGTCAGACTTGTACCAGCAGCGGAAATGGCAGTGCCAATAGTACTCAACGGCATTTGCGACGAGCAATGTGTCCAAGCAACACAGCTAACAATTGACTGGTGAGAGTAAGGGTAAGGGAGTGAAAGCGCAAGTAATCCGATCAATGGCTGATGCTGTTTTTTGTTGAAGTGTGACCTCTGTGCAAAAAAATACTTTCCGGCAATAAAGAGTATAGTATTTGGAGGCTACATTGGGGTCCGCTTATTCATGGAAACTACCGTTCTGATCTGGAGAGTTGCAGTGACACATCCCGCGTGTCCTGTTGCTACTGGTGGCCAGAAGCAGCTGTGTAGATAGTGCTGATACCCGAAATCACCTTAGTACACGATGATACCGTACTTCCCAACGTATACAGTACTTAGGGTCATGCAGGATCTTCAGCATCA